ATGGCACCTGACAACAACAACAGTATACCTTCAGACTGACAACAGGCACAAGACTCCCCTGGAGTGCTTATGGAAAGTACAGATTGGCAGACTTCACCCTCAGACTTCTTGTTCTCCTGAAGCAGGGCCCGGGTGTTTGCTGTTAAATGAGGCCCTCTGGTGATGCCGAAGCAGGAGGAACACCTTTTGAGATACTGCTTGACGACTGTTGAAGTTTTTGGTGACTTCTGTAGTTGTCCTGCTGCAGAATGAAAGGCCTAATAGTGTAAATCATGCACTCAAGAGCCAGATTGCCTGGGTTCTAAAGTGACCTTGGACAACATTGTCATCTGTACTTCTCTCCATATCTGTGATATAGTTCCTCTTTGACACAGCTGATGTGAGAGGTAAAGACATAAAACGCATTTATAATTAAGAGTTTTGAAACTATTATTAGCTGTTATTTGCATGACTGCCTTCAGGAAACCTCTCCTTTTTGAACACTCATGCTACAGTCAGCCCTCCTTTCACAGACAGGAACTGAATCTGTATTGGGCTTAAGTTCTAAGGATGTTGGCGAGAAAATGCTAGCGAGTATTACATAGTCTAGATATTTGTTAGAGGGATAAACTGACATATAGTTTTTCCTCTTCAGGTTAAGCAGTCTAGTGCTATCCTGCAGCACCACACCAGGACTCCATATATTTGTATGTGTCTATGTGTATGTATATTAGGGAGCTCAGGTAGCATAGTGGTTACGAATTGGGCTGCGAACTGCAAGGTCAGCAGTTCAAAACTACTGGCTGTTCTGCGGGAGAAAGATGAGGCGTTCTGCTCCCATAAAGATTTACAGCCTCGGAAACCCTGTAGAGGGTCGCTGTGAGGCTGACCGACTCCGTGACACACAGCCAGTCATGTGTATGTATATTGGTGGAGTCCTGGTGTAGTTCTGTAGGATAAGCTCTGAACTGCTAACTGCAAGGTTGCTGGTTCAAACCCACCAACTGCTTCTTGGAAATCCTATACAGGGTTGCTATGAGTCAGAGCCAACTTGATGGCACTTACCAACAACACTATATATATATATTAAGGTAAGTCAAAAAGTATTACTACAAA